TTATCAAGTTTAGCATATTTTTTGCGTACCGAGTTCAATGTGTCCAACGCCTTGGCATACATACTGTAGCCAAAAAGCTCGTCAAATTTCTTCTTCAACGTTGCACTGTCCGCCATTGGCCAGAGGTTATCTTCTTGGTGGCAAAACAAAACGTTGTTGATCATTGAAGGCGTGGTTTTCAAAAAGTTCATGATTATCTTGTTGGTCTCGGTTTGTTTATGGGCGTACACTTGGCTTTCATTATTGTTTAAGTACAATGTGGTATCGCCAGACTTGTACGAGTATTTTTCAGCATTTGTGTGCAGCATTCGCGAAACTGTCAGTGTGAAGTGCCGTCTGATCAACAAAGAGGTTTCGTCGTTGCCCTCCAGCTTCAGCCGGATTTCGCCTTTGACTGCGGACGTAGCCAGCAGAGACGGATCGTGCAAAAAGTATTTGCCCTTTCCCGTGTCTGGAGGCAGTTCCCCAGTCAATGCAGTTCTGATGCATTCTATTATCGTGGTTTTTCCAGCGCCATTTTGTCCGCAGATTAACGTTAGCGGTTTTAAAAAATGAATCGTGGCTATTTCATCTGGTTTGAAAGAACGTATTCCCGAAAATCCCAGTTTTACTAGATAAACCATCGTTGTAACCGAAACTAAAGTTAATGCATTTTCTTATATTTTAATTAACTTATCATATTATTTTTTGCTAGGCCAAGATAAAATTTTTTAACAATCGCAGTCAGAATTCCCATTATGTAAATGAAAAAACATCAGTCTCACTATTTGCAGCGTAATCTCATTGATTTAGAACGCAAAACCCTATTTCTAGATTTTTTAAACCCGAAAACGCTTGAAAGTGACCTTGAATACTTCATCAAAGACCATTTCAAAAAGCCATTTCAAATTCGAATTGTTCGAAATCCAACTGGAGATTGCAAGGGATTCGGATATGTCACTTTTTCGTCGCGCTCTGATGCGCTCAAAGCAAAAAAAATTTTACACGGAGCTAATGTATGCCAGTCGATAATTAGGGCTAGGTTTAGCAAAGCTAAAAAACTTGAAACTCAACCCACGTCGCTGTTTGTAGAGCTTGCTGATGTTAGCTACAAGAATTTTGAATCTTTGCTGATAGAGATCAAGGAAAACTCATGCTTCACGCCATACATAGAAGAAATAATCGATATCAGGACGGGCAAAAAAAGGCCCATAAAAACTTTCTTTGTCGACCTGGCAAATTCCGAGGTCACTCAAAAACTTCTAGCACATGAAAAAAAAATTGTGGGAAACGCAGCTGTTACAATTGAAATCGCTGTTCCGCTAGTTTCCAACATTAAAATCGTTACTAAAAGCGCGGAAGTACCAGACTTTGACTTATGCAATGTGCAGTACGCGATTCAAATTAACGAAAATCTCGATCCAGTAACCGCAGATCGAATTATACAGCTTATTCAGCAATACTGTCCAGACCTTAAGCCGCACTCGAGCAAAAAAGACAGTGATAAAACCAAGTTATGTTTGGAATTCGCGAACGAAGCTGACTTGTTCTTGATCCAGTCGTTGTTACCCGTTATTTCAGTGCAAAATAGAGACTATAAGTACACCATCGTGAATTCTGTCGACAAGCAAGCGCCGAAAGCGCACAATAAGATAAGTCATCGATATTTCGTCAAGGGTTTGCGATCAAACAGCTCGATTGCTAAGCTCAAACACAGATTGAAGGCGAAATTCAAAAACGTGGAAGTTGACGTTTTCGGACGGCGCTCAAATTATGCAGTTGTTACACTTTCGTCGAGTGAACCGAGCGAAACGCTTTTAGCTTCGCTCAAAAACGTTTTTAGCAACAATAAATGTGTGATAGTCGAACCCTACCAAAACCAACATCTCCCTTTCTTTAAACGACTGCACTTGAAAGTGGACGAATGCGAGGAAAAATCAATTTGCGAGCCAAAAAAAAAAATTAAAATAGTCTTTAATCAAAACAAAAAAACAAACTCGTCCGACCACGGCGAAACAAATGACGCTAAAAATATCGACAATAATAATTCTTTACGATTATTTCTCGGGCTAAATTAATTAATGCAACACGTCACCGTGTGTAACACAGTGATGTACCGAAACTTTGTATCGTCGCTACGCTTAAGCGAAAAACAAGCAAGTTCGCCTCGTGATATCTATCTGGGAAATTTTTATTTGAACTTGGCGAAGAACTACCTGGCACAATTGCAAAAAAAAAAAGATAATTACTTAGGAAAAAACACATCTATCAAAAAATTGATCACCTTTACATTTCAGGCTTTTTTTGGTTATACACCCGTGATGGCGCTTGTCAATGCTGAAAAAGAAATTCTGGAAGTCTCGCTTGAATACACGGGCTGGCTCAAGCAGTATGTAAACAACGTTAGCACGGACGACAAGATGATTGAAAATATCGCGGACATCAAATGTGCAGCCGAAAACTTGGTGAAGGGTATACTACAATTTAGTAATTTGGACTTGGAAACACAGTCCAAGTTCAACTCACATAAGATAAGCATCCTTATAATGTTAAATTAACAGCAGAGCCAATTAAACTAACTACTGGGCTTGTAAATCACGATTTGCGAAAATTTCATTTCTGCGGCCGTTGGCTCGTGCGTGCCGTCGAAAGACACGGCCAACGCGAACTCGTTGCTCCGTTTGTTATACGCAGTGCTAGTAATACTCGTTGAAAAAGGTTTTTTCAAATGCCACATACGTTTGCGATTTTTTCCATCCCAGCAAGCAATGCGGCCGTCACCTCCAACCGTGGTAAAAACGTGGCTGTCTCCCTTGAACGTGATTGCATGGACAGGATACGCATATTCCACGTTTCTGGAGTCGTCCTTCACTCTGTGGCATTTAAACGAATAGTTCTCTCGCTTCTCTTCTGGGTTTGGATCAAAGTACTGATAATAAACACGCCCTTCGTGCGTGCCAACCGCATACCCCGTGCCGTCGGGAAAGGCAGTCAAAGAAGACGGCATATAGTTTATCGCGTCGTAAATTACGTCTAGTGGTTTCGTCAGCATGCGAAAATCGTATATCGTTATGTTGTTTGCCGCATCGGCAATCACTATTTTTTCGTTGACAGTAGACACGCCTGCAACATCCATACCGTAAACCTTACTCTCGATCGGAAGCTTGTAGCGCAAGTTAGACGTTCTCAAATCCCATACGCAAACTGTTTTATCCCAGCTACCGGTTAATAAACAACTTTTCGAAGGCAAGTACCTGATGTGAGAAATAGGATTAAAATGCAATCCGTAAAACGTTTCTGTTTCAGTGACAAAGTTGTACGATTTCACTGCATTTGATAAACCGCCAAACGCAACGTTTTGCTGGTTGTGCAGGAACTCGACGTCTAGTGCGGGGGCAGAAGTGGAAAATATGTTCAACATCTTGTTTGCACTAGTGTCGTAAAGCCTCACACTACAGTCGAAACTACTCACCAATAAGTGGTGTTCATTACCCGGGAAAGGCGACGATTTTAAAGACGTAATGGGTCCATCTGGAGGTCTTTGTATGTCGAAACTCATTTAAATTTGTATCTCTTCTACATACACGCTTTTTTTGTTCGATATTATTTTTTTGAGCAACTTAATTCTAAAACAAATATTAATTTTGATACTTTGAAAATACGAAATATTTAGCATTTATTAAATCTTTTCGCTGCTGCTAAGTCTTATTGGCTCTGCGGCCGGTGAATTCATTGAGCTTGCGCTTTTTTTGTAAAAACTCCATTCGAGATAATATGTTGTCTTTACTTTTGTTCGACGCAAGTAAAGTTTCTCTGTTTCTCGCAGTAGAAGTAACATTATTCCAATCCAGCTTTGATTTTTCAAGAGTCGTAACTTCTTGAGAGTTTTCGAGGTTCAGTGCATTTCTAATAGCTACGCAGTACTGATCGTCTTGAACGTCAACAACACTTTGGGTCTTGTTGCGCAAGTTTACTTGCAGTGTGAATTGCTTGCCTCCGAATTTGACTATTTTAGTAATTGTTTGGTTCATTTCAGCGTCTAACCTTTTCAGTATCTCTTGAGATTTTTTTAAAAACTCTGGGTCAACAGTGGAGTTCAATGTATTAACCAGTAGCTTTCCATTTAGATCTGAGTCACTTTTTTTATTGGGATTTTGTAAGACAGAAAGTTCATTAAATTTGTCTTCTACACTACAGTCCAGGTTTCTGCCGATGGGTTGTTGTCCATTGACATAAAGAACAGTTTCAAAAATTTTTGGCTCTGATGTGTTTTGCACTAACTGTTTATATCTTTTTTCAGCTATACTAACAAGGTTTCCTCTATTGGCTTCGTCTTCATTTTTTTCTTCAGACTCTGTCAGTTCAAAACTTGAATCAGATGCAGATTCGCTACTAACGTAATCTTCATCGTCACTGCTATGAAGGTTGCTAAAATAGTTGTAGCTTTGATTCATTTTGCGATCAAATGTGAGCTGAGAAAATTTATTAGTAAAACCTTTGCGTCAAAATTTATGGTAAATCTTCGATAAAATAGTCAACACAAAAGAAATTAAATAATATAATAAAATCATAAAAATAACTATAAAAGCCAAAATCCAAATCTTCTTGGCATAACTATAGGTATTTAAATAAATGACTTTATTTACCGAAGTTGATATTCGGTTTGACAACGTGTTCAAGCCATTTTGCTAAAATAAATCAAACTATAGACTTACCATCATGGTAAAAAACACGTTTGATTCGACAACATCTTGATTTATTTGCTCAGATAGCTTTTTCAGTTCAAAAATTTTGCTTTCCAGTATGTTCAAGTGTTCTTCGTTTTTTTGCCGTAGTATGTCAACTACTATATCGTTATGTACATTACTTTTTTGACTTGTTCTGCGTTCAACATGCATGTTGAGCTGGAACAAACAACATTGAGAATTTAATAAAATTTAAATAAAAACCATTAATTACTGCCAAATAAATTAATAATCGGAAAACTACAAAAATTAGCTATATTTTTTAGATCTAAGCAAATGAACGTTTATAAAGCTGTATTACTCGATTTGGATGGTGTTGTTTGGACTAGATATGGAGCTATTGATAAAAGTCCTGATGCTACGCACTTGTTCAAGGAAAACGGTATAAAGGTGTTTTACTTGACAAATAACAGTCATCGTAGTCAGCAAGAAACATTTGATAAGCTAGTTTCTTATGGCTTTTACGTCGAGTCACTTGCAAACATTGTGACAAGCCCGTTCTTGACATACAAACAGCTCGAATACGATGGCGTTAAAGGTAAAGTTCTCGCTTTGGGGTCGAAAACATTGCTTGTCGAGCTTCAAAAAAATCCAAATTTGCAACTCGTTTCTTTTGTAGATTTGCAAATGAATCAAGTCCAAATTAAACACACACTAAACGATCAAATAGCAGCAATCGTGCTGGGGTACAAGTTAAACTTGTCCTACTATGAAACAGCCGTTGTTCTTTCAATCGCCACGATAAACAAGTGTAAGATATACCTGACCAATCAGGATGTGTTTTACCCTGCAGGAAACGAAATTATGCCCGGAACAGGTTCGTACTTGTCTTGTATCACAATGCCTCATGAAATTCTCAATGATAAAATAGTTGTTTGCGGAAAACCAAATGTGCTTATTAGTGAACATTTAAAAAAAATGTTTGCGCTGGAAAAAACTGAAGTGGTCATGGTTGGCGACAATTTAGAGACAGACGTTAAACTTGGGATAAACTGTGGTTACAGAAGTGTACTCGTAGAAACGGGCGTGCATTCTAGAGCAGATATTGAAAAGCTTAAAATTAAGCCCAGCAAAATATTTAAATCGCTGTATGATATGGCTTGTAATGTTAACAATGAGCGCGAGCAAGTTAACTATTAGCTTTTAAATTATTGAAGAAATTTTTCAGCGTCAAAGTACTTGTTTATTTTCAATATTTCCTTTAAACATTTCATGTACGACTTGTAAATGGGTGATTCAACGTCAGGTTGCAAAACAAATACTCCACTTGTTGGACGGTTCGAGTTACAGTGAGCACCAATTAAATATTTATTGTTTACAAACGCGTAAGGGACTTTTTTTTCCTCAGCAAAAACAGGAAGATGTGCAGCTACCTCGATTGGAAAAATATCAGCAGCTATAAAAATGATTCCTTTGAAATCCTTTCTCAGCAATTTGGTTATTTCTGATATTCCCTTCTTAAAAACTAGAGTAGAATTCTTTTTTTTCGACAAATTGACTTTGTCTAATTCAGCGCATTTTTGCAGCAAATTGAAACAGCGATTTGTCAGTTTTAACGTAGCCAAAGGTACAGATATTGGCGATACTTCAGAAATTTGTGAATATTCCTCTGGGTTAATTTCTGTGCTCATTGTGATTTTAACGCTTTTTTAAAGCAATTTTTGTCTTAAATAATTAAAACATTTCGCTCAAATTTAGTAAATAAATAATTTCGCTTTTAGTAAAAATTTATATCATCAAACTGTTTTAAATTCTAAACTATGAAGATTTTGTAAGTTAACAGTTTCAAACTGCTTTTTAGTGGATTTTCCGACTTGGCGAAAAACTCTAGTTGTAACAGCTTTACACATCAAAGAACTGGCCCTGATAACGCGAACTCAGTTCACTTTATCTTGTATAAAAACGGATTTCTCGTCTACAACAAATTTTTCGATTTTGCTGACGTCAACAACATCAGAATGTGGGAAGAAATTCAATCAGGCCAGTTTCCAAAAGAATTGGTTCATTTACAACATCATCGTAAAGGCTCGGTGTCTGCTCAAATCTCCGAAAAAAACGAAATGTACGAACCTTGATCAATTGTTTCTATTACAACGCTAATTTTAATAAATTATGTAAATTTTAATTGTCGATTGACATTTGTGTCACATCATCAAACGGTCCATAAATTAATGAAATTGTTAGCCACCGCAACTTTTTTCGCAGATCAAAAAATTATTTTTCAACAATTTGCGCAAAATATTCGTAGTTTTTTCATAATTAAATTTAAAAATATTTATATTATTAAGCATATTATGCCTAGAGAAATAAAAACTGATAGATGAATAAAATATAAAATCAAATTTTGAAATACATAAGACTTTAATTTTATAAAGCTATCGGTTCAAATACTAGTGGTTAACTAAAATTTTACAAAACATGTTGATCGAGTCGTTTATTACTGAAAATTTCGACAAATTGTACGAAGAAAACAAACTTCATGATATTCTCACGTATCAAATGTCATGGTTTACAAGTATGCGAGCAATTGATTACGTCTCAGCTATTTCCATGTATAGCACAGATATGAATTCCTATAAAAATTTACTTCATTTATGTTACAATATCTGTGTTCGTGACGGCAGTTTAAGCCGTGCCTGCGAGTTTGCTATAAAATTAAAAGACGTAGAACTTTTGAAAGATTTGATTAAAATTTGCACAGACGTAGAATACATTCCCAACTCAGTTAAAAATCACCCTATTCTTAACGATTTGAGTTGGTCCCCTTTTGTCAGAGTATGTTACTATTTAAGCGACGAAGATAAAATTGTCCAGGAACGTGAGACACGAAAAATAATGCTATTACAATTACTGTTTCAAATATCATCGTCAGGACTAATGTATAGCTGTTCTGACTTAGAATTACTTGAATCTGAAGACACAGGGAAATACACAAACATATTGTGTTCGAACTACTTAGGCGAAATGATGGCATACATCATAAAAGAGTTGGAAATCGAAGATGTTAAAGGATTAGAAAAAATATTTAAACGAGAGAAGAATAAATCCTCTTCTTTTTCGGAAAATCAAAATAACAAAAATTTCATGAACGCGCTAGGTTCAGCTTTGGTACACTATGGTTATGGCAAAGATGCGTTATTGAGTGTTGATGATCAAGCATTCATATCGACTACGCGAGATAAAAGTATGATCTCAGCTGTGACTTCTTTAGGAATTTTGAACGCTTATAAAATTGAGGAAGGAATTGCCATTTTAGACAGGTTTCAGTACTCTGAACTGCCGGCTGCTAAAGCTGGTTCTTGTCTAGGTTTTGGACTTTTATTTTCCAATATGAAAGACGAATTTGAAACGGCTTTAAATCTTATCTGTCCGTCTCTTGATTCTCCTAACTTAGACGAAATAGCTAATGCTTGTTTGAGTTTGGGATTTGTATACATGGGTACTCAAAAAGCGGAAATAGTTCAATTATTCTATCCTATAATACTTGCTTATTCTGAACCAAATCGAATAAGTTTGTGCGCAATTGCTTGTTTGAGTCTTGGTATGATTTATCTAAGTTCAGCAGACGAATCGGCTTCAGAAATGATTTTACAGTTTATTATTGACTGTTCAAAACCGACGACTGCGCAAACGGACATCTATAACGCATCGCTAGGTCTCGCCTTACTGTATTTCAGACGAGGTCCCGAAGTCGAAGGCTTATCTATTATTCTGAAAACTATTGAACATCCCATTGGGGAATATACACTGGAGCTTGTCAATTCTTTTTCAACTGTAGGTTATTCCAATATCATCGAAGTTCAAAAAACAGTAGAAAAGGCCATTGCAAGCAGTCGATTGATTAACTCACTCGAAGATTTGTATATTAAAAACAAAAAACTAGCCGACATGGAGTCTCAAATAAATCAAAATACCTCACAAGAAACTCCAGAAAATCAGCAAGAAGAATCTATTTCAGATAACACCGAGCCTCAAATGCCGACCAAGCAAACTCAAAGTCAAGAAAAAACAAACCCTTCCGATAACGATTTGGAAAATCGATATCCAATAAACAATGTGGCAGACCACTTTTTATCTCATTTACCAACAATCCACGTTTTATCAATTTATATTAATTCGTTTAATGACGTTGTATCACAAGAAGTAATTATCACATTTTCAAACCACTTCCTTCAGCTCGACAATGTGTTTGCGAAGCGAGCCATCCCGATAGGATTGAGCTTAACATTTGCTTCAAACCCAAATCCATTTGTTCTTGACATTCTAGCTAAGCTAACTCGTAACGAAGATGGCCACATAGCTATAAACTCTATCATCGCAATTGGAATTGTAGCTGCAGGAACTAATAACGTTCGAGCGATGAACATTTTAGTAGCTCTGACTTCATATTACTCAAACGACCCCAATGCAATATTATCCATTGAATTTGCTCAAGCTTTGATATATAGTGGAAAGGGTTTGTTGACTGCTTCGCCGCTAAACGAATACAATGGGCTCATTAACGAACGAAGATTGGCTTTTCTTCTAGTATTTTTAGTTCAAATCATGATGCACAAAGAAGGAATGCTCACGAATAAACTACGCGAGCTTTTTTTCACAATAATCCCTTCTTTGTATCCACGATGGTTGATAACGCTCGATTCTGACCTTAAACCAACACCGGTTTCTGTAAGAATAGGTAAACCGTTGGACACTGCAGGTATGCCTGGAAAACCCAAAGTAATCTCAAGCTTTTATTCGCATCAGGCGCCAGTAATTCTGCAGCAGACTGAAGCTGCTGAGTTAAACACGGGTGAATACCAGCTGTTTGCTCATACGTTGACTGGTATCGTTTTGTCGAGAAAAACCCCTCCTCATCAACTCAAAGAAGCAAACCACGTAGTTGAAATCTAACTCTTTGATTTGGTTGATACAACTTTGTCATAAGGCATGTGTATATGGATGAATAGTAATAAACATGCGCTCTCTATTATAGACTATTCATAATTTCATTGTTATAATGCATTATTTACAAGTAATATATTGTTTTGTTTATACTAAGTTGTTGCATGCTTATTACTAGGAGCAGTAAAAATTCTATTACATCGAAAATGGTAACGGAGCTAAACGATAAGTTTGGGCTTGTAACGGAGCATCAAAAGACGCTTAATCAGTTTACAAAAGAATTAGAACGTGAGTTTAGGGTATAACAATTGTGTAGTATTAAATGAAGAAGTAGTCAAACACGAACCGTACAATTTTGAAAAATGGAGTAATGAGTCGAAATACACTCATCCAGACCATTTTGAGCTAAGAGTAGTCGTTGACATCATAAAATCGCTACTGTTCATTGAACTGCCCACAGAAATGACACAAAACTTTTCAAAAGAAGTTTTGGCATTTATCCTGTACAATCAGAATCGGCAGCTTCTTTTTGTTCTCAATTCAATCGTGCCGCTTATAGAAGCTCCTGTCTCAGATGAATTATCTCATCAGTTGATAACTAATTTGCACACAGAAATCGTGCATGAGCTCTGTAATAAACACCAGAGAGGCTACATTGATCCAAGTTTCTACGTTAAACCAATAAACTCTGACTGGGACAGTTTAGACCATTTTGGCCACGGATCAGTTCCAGCAACAATTGATTACAATAGAACGCAATCTACTCCACTTTTGGAGTCGCACAACAAACCATTAACACGACAAACATCGGAATTCAAAACAGATGTGCCTTTTGAGAGCACCTTGAGACTGGACAATTTAGCGACCAGCTCCAATTCGCTTTCTATGTCTCCCATGTCCAAAAGCAACAACCTGGCAGATCTGCAAAATCAAGTCAAGAACATAGCAACCAAAAACTCAGAAGAACAAGTAAATAACTCAAAACCGAATTTCTCTTCGTCTATACGCGAAAGTTTTGTTATACCAAAATCAATACACAATATTCTAAACAATAACAAGAATTCTGTTCGGTTTACTGAAATAAAAGACAATCACAATGACTCACGTCTGCTTTTAAAAAGTCTTAAAACGTCGCGGTCTTTGACAGAAGAGCCTAAAAAAAATATTGCACAACCGAAGGCAACATCGTCTGCAAAACAAATACCCAAGAAAAATTTAATGAGCACTAAAAAAATAGACAGCCAATCAATTAAATCGTTGTCCTCAACGAAATCGTCACTTTCACCACCAATTACCAAATCTAATATCAAACTTGATTCTGCAGTAAAAAAGGCTAAATCTCAATTTAAGTTTAACTTTAAAAAATTTGAAAAAAAAAAATGATATTCTATAAAAAGTTCCGTTAATGTATCAAAGATTAAAGCTACACAATACTCTAGTCATTTAATCTACCAAATAAAAGTTATAGCCGAAATAGGAATACTCGCATGTTACGCAATTAAATAACATGCCGAACTCTATTTAGACACAATTAATATTTGAATATACTGTTAAAATAAATCTAATGAAATTCATTAGTTTTGCTCGAGCTGCAACAGTATTCTCTCTAAATGTATTGCTATCTAACGTTTCAACCAACATACTTGTACTTTCTTTGTTGAGAGAGAAATTTCTCTTTACAGATAAACGAAACGCACAACTGCTAACTCATGACAAGATAATGTTAGAAAGACAACTTGAAAGTTTAGACCACACTAGCGATCACTACCGCATAGTCAACAAAGTCGTTAGCTCTATGTATGAGAGAGACTGGAATTTCAGCTCACCGACATGTTCTCTGATTGAGGAGGCACCAAATAGTCAGCCAAAAGATCAAAAACTTTACGTTAAATGGAACTTTATACATTTTCACGACTCCTTTAAGGACAAAGTAGCACTGAAACTCAGTTTGATTCCTGTTATCATGTCCATTATGAGTTACCATTGCGGAGGTCTAGTTTTCGAACTTATGACCTTGATCTCCAAATACCTAGTCAAGCTCCATTTTTTGTACTGCTTGGTATTTTTAGGACTTTTTATGTTTTTTTACACCAGATTTTCAACGGCTGGGCTTATTTTGATGAACATACCAGCAACTACCATATCAGACAAAACTGAAAATTTTTTAGACATCCCGTCCTTCAAGTGTCATACACTAATCAAGAAAATCATTTACGAATTCAGCATAAACGTATCGAGTTTATTCTTTTTTTTAATCTTCCTCGAGTCTTTAAACAAGGCCCACGCTTTAAACCAGAACATTACTGTTTATGTCATAGTAACTTGTTCAGCACTTTTGCTAGTATTTTTTATTTTCATTAATTACTACTACAAGGTCAAACGCGAGGAACAATACTTAAAATCTTATCATACGTTTGAAAGAACGTACATGTCTACAGATTCGATTATCATTCCGGCTCTTGTAGACGAATCAATTATAGAAATTACCCAACACAACGATTTGAGCATGCTTCATTTAGATGATGAGCTTAGCGATCAGTCTAGTATGGAAAATTTCGCTAATGACACATATAATCTTCCCAATCTTATTGTATCTAGACATCCATCCATTGTCTACGATAATTATTTAAAAAGGAATTCGGACTCTTCTAATTCATTCAACAAAACAATAAAAACAGAACAAAAAAGTTCTAGCCTTCTGTCGAAATATTTTGGAATTAAGAGCCTTTATTTTTTTACAGCTGCCAATGTGATTTGCTTTGTATTGATGAAGTTCAGTATTTACTCATTACTAGAACTGCTTGTAGATTCCATGTTCAATCGAAAAAAAAATTTAATTCTTTTTTTGAGTTTGTTTTCGTCGTTGCTGGCTTCGCAAGGAGTCATAAAACTTATTCTATCCCCCATACTGAAGTACACCATCGCATCAGTTATTTGCATTTTAGTTCTAGTAGTAGCCGGGTTCGAACATATATTTTATCTGTTGTCAAAATCTGAAGAATCAACTTTGAACTTGGGCACTACAGATTACACAACTATTTACATGATTACTCTTATTATTCCGCTGTTAGAAATATTCTATCAACATTTCGTGAGTTTAATCACTACAAGACTTCAGTTGGCCTATAGTCACGAAGTTTTGTTAAAGTATTTTAATTTTATAGCTGGCATGATGCTAATTCCTCATGCCATCGGGTCAATTCTTTGTTCTACCTACAGGCACTATGCCTTGACCAACAGATTGATTTACTGTGGTTATTTAACAGTGCTAATACTTTGTTATTTAATACACAAGAATTATTTATATTATAAAAAAGATCAAATAACATATAACGATAATTCTTCATTAATCTTTTCGGACGCTACTTTCTTCCAGCAAGAAGAAAATCAAGAATATAATAGGTATTTATCAGAACAACAGAGCAGTTTACTTTTTGCTAAATGGAAACAATACAAGCAAGACGAAAATATGCTTGCCACAATTAATTAATATTATAAACTATTTCTTCTTAAATAATAACGTAAACTAGTCTTTCCATTGCATTTTTAAGCAACGCTTTCGTAAGCAATTATATCTATGCGCGCAACACAAATGTAATAAATAAATATTTAATAGATAATTATCAGCATATGTCCTAAAACTATTTAGTAAGGAAATGAACCATCAAGAGCACAATTCAAATGGTAAGCCGTGTTCATCGACCAATTTTAGTGTATCACAACCAAAATAATTCAATTCCTCACAATTATATTAATAACCAAGATTCACTTATCAACGAAAACCCTAACATTGAATATACTAGAAATAATCCTTCGTCAATAATTTCTAGCTCTCATGCCGTCCACATGCAAAACAATCATCCTTCTCAACTAGCAGGTAACCACCAACAAGTACTCAATATGCATCAACCTCACATGGTTAACAAACATCATGGTTCACTTCCTAACAACCCTAACAGAATTTATAATCCACATCTTGATCGAAATACTCCATTAGACGCTCATGCTGCACAACGACGAATGACCCCCAATCCGAATATTTACGTTATGCCCCAATATCATCAGAATCCGCGCGCAAAACAAGTAGGAATGCCATGTTATCCGCAAAACCAGCAATATTATACATACAGAAACCAGCAAATGGGCAAGGGTCCAACAATTATACAAAACGAAAAAGAAGGTAGTGTATTCAGCCTCAATACAACTAATCCAAATCAATTCAATAACATCGTCCCACAATCTGAAATTTTGCGGATGAACTACGTAAAAAGACCGCAAAAACTCATTTCTAATATGAATTATAATTATATGCCTCAGCAACACCCCATGCAGCACGATAGGAACATTCCTGGCTCAGTCCGTAACGCTCCTATGTGGTCTGAACAACAACAACAGCAGCAATCTATGTACCAATATCAAAAGCTGTCTCCCGAATTGGTAACCAACTCTAATATGAATATATCTCAAGTTTCTCCATTCTCTCATGGAAGCAAACCGCATATGTATGCCCAACAGAACTCAATCAACCAAGCAGATGTTAAAATAATGCCTTCCACTGATACAATCACTATGGCAGAGGCAAATGTCCAATATATGGTAATGAATCAAAAGCCTATGATGTATTCGAGTTCTCAACCCAATATGAAGCAAAATTATTACGCACCCAATATGCCTCATCAACGATTGTCAAATATGGACGCAATCAGTGTACACTATAATTTACCTGAAAGCAACGTGACAGGCGAAAACAGTAATATAAAAAGAGATGTTTTTCAACCTAGCAGACCTAACGCTGCTTTGAGTGACGCAAACTATCTGAGCACAGCTGGAAAGACCTCATTACAAGAAGAAGTTACAAATGTCGACGAAAATATCTCAGACATTTACACTCCCTACAAGTACTTCAATAACCTGCAGCAAGAAGAAAGCAACGATAATCAGTCACGAAGTATAAGCACTCCAGATAACGCTAAAAAAACCAAACTGAATAACAATGTTATCACCGTTTT